AAGCTTCTGAGATTACTGGGGAATGTGCAGGTTATATATATTCTAGGTTATATTAAGCTTAGAAACTTCTTATTCAGCCAAACTTATTTTTCAGTTGGCTTAAGTGTTTTTGCAATGCAGTTATTTTCCCCTTGGGTTATCTATCTTCATTTATTCCTGTCAAACTTAGCAGCCAGATAAAGTAGAAAAAGAAACCAAACATGCACCAGTTTATGAAAATATACAGTTCACTTTTCTGCCTTGAAGATCCCCTCAGATGACTTCAAAGTGTAGAACTTCATATGTTCAGAAATGATGCTTAAGATGTTCTTGTTCCAATGCACCCAAGGAATGCTGATATTGAATTTCCCATGTTATAAAAATATGAATACAAAGTCCAGATGGCCCCATCCTGGGCTGTGTTCATCTCAGAAAGCTGACTCTGTCTCAGTGGAGGATGTGACCCAAGAGTTCTGTGTGTGAAATTGTTGCTCAAGAAGTTTTTTCTTCTGCTGCAGTACTACAGCTTCTGACCCTTCCACATTTGCGACAGATTCAAATCTGAAATCAAGATTGAATCTGCAGTCTTGCTTTTAACATAAGCACACTGAAGTCATTTTCTTTTGAGCTCCTGTCAAGAATGGATCAGCCATTCACATCTTCATGTTCCAGTGAGCTCTCTTCAGTTGTTCATCCATTGATGTGAAATCTCTTTTTGCAAATGTGGCATGAAGACCAGTGAGAAAATCAGCTCATTGAGTAAAATACAGTCAGAAAACAGGACTTCAGTTCTTTTAAAGGCTATGAAAGATATCACTTCAGACCATTGATCAGAAGATAAGCAGTACTCTTTTTCTGATTGTGAAGGATTCTTTATTTTCAGCTGCTTCTGCAATTTGGCTTTTTCTCCATTTGCCTTCTTGGCCACAGGAGCATGCTGCTGACTCATGGTCACCTTGTGGTCCATCAGAACCCCCAGATCCTTCTCTGCAGAGTTCCTATCCAGCAGTTCAGCCCCTTCGCTGGTGCATGCAATTATTCCTCCCCATATGTAGGACTCTGCATTTGCCCTTGATGAATCTCATCAGGTTCCTCCCTGCCCAAATCCCCAGCCCATCCTGGTGTCACTGAATAGCAGCACAGCCTTCTGGTGTCTCAGTCACTCCTCCCAGCTTCGTATCATCAGCAAATTTGCTGAGGGTACACTACCAGCAATCAACAGTTCCACTCTCAAATGCAGAAGCATAGCTTTCTGGGCCACTGACTTCATCTCATACATGAAATCCCTGATGCTATATTTAAAACAAAACTTTTTATTTAAAACTGAGACTTTCTACTTCAGACAGGCACCTGAGCTATTGCTAGAGTTACCAGTGCTTCTAAAAAACCAAATGTTCTGGAAAATGAGGCAACTAAGAGAGGTATGGCTGGGATATCTCAGTTTTTCACTCAAAAACAAACAAAACAGATGGGGAAGGGACAGCCCACACTGTTCTCTATATTTCCTTATATATCACAATGCACAGAAGCTAGTTATTACTTCCAGACCTGCTCCTTTTTCTAGTGTAAAGTCTCATTTCCAAGATGTGTGAATTACCAGTGTGAATTACCTCCTCTATTCAATTACAACATCTGATCACTGCCTCTTTTTCATCAATAATAAAAACTATTGAAGTCAAGCACTCACCACTGGTTATAAAAAAAAAAAAAAAAAAAAAAAAAAAAAAAACAGGCATTAAGTCACCTTGAGATAAAAAATTAAAATATATATTGCTAAATCCATTCTTGGGAATTGAGTGCAGTAATTGCTTGAGATGATGATGACTAAAGGGAACATTGTATTTTTGTGGAACACTTCCAGGGATAACGGGCAAAATCCTCCACTGGTTTAAATCAGTAACATTGTACCAACCTGCTGCTCTAGCTGATGTAAATTATCGCATCTTCATTTGAGATCAATGGCCCAGCACTTCCTACTCTTGTAACTTAGGATGTTTCCCTAAAATATAAACTATAATCCAGACACTTTAAATGGATATTACAAACCAGATGCAGTAGATCTAATGCCCCATTAGAGCTGAGGTCCTGATCTTTAAGCTGGGATATGCTCTTAGGTTAAGAATTTAGCATAGCCTTTGCCACTGCTACAGTTGGTATTACAGCTAGAAAGATTATTGTGGTGAAAAGGGGAAAAGAAACAAACAGGGAAGGAATGCTTGCTCACCTGTATCTAAAGATCTAGATTTTCACAAAAGACTCCACAGAGGAGGGATCTTCAGAAAGAGATCTTCCCCTAATGGCAGTCAGCCCTGAAATGGGGTATATGAGGGGTGGAGCCGGGCTCTAGCTATCTCTTCACCTGTGCTCCCACAACTCACTTCTTTCTTCAGGTGATCAATCAGTGGTTCAGGCTGTGACTCAACAGTTCCCAAACAGCTACCTAGGTAACAAGATTGAAAGGTAACTAAGCAAAGCTGTGCTGTATTTTCAGGTTATCTTGCTGCCTGTCACAGCTGAAATAGAAAACAAGCTAATTACACCTCCAATTTTTCTACAAAAAAAATAAAATAAAGAAATGAGAGCAAAGAGCAGTAGAGACTTGGTTGGAAAAGCTACTATAGTTCTGTTTGGTGAAAGCAAAGCCTGGCTTAGTGCTATTCTCCTGAAGTTTGCAGAAAAAGATCTTGCCAGAACAAAGACAAAACTTGGGATTCATCATAGTAATAAGAAACAGAAGCCAAGAGCAGGTTAGGGATGAAGTGTTACAGTCAGATAATATTTGAAGACTCAATAGCATACTCTTCAAAGGTCAGGTTGTCTTAGATATTAAGAGTCTGCAGAAACAGTTCAGAGATGGAAAAGCTCAGAGTAAAGGTTGAATGTTTAACCCCTAGCTTTACCATGTTCTGTATGCACTTCACAAAAGCAGACAGAAAATACACACTGGTACTTCTCTTTCTCTCTCTCTTTTTTTTTTTGTTTGTTTGTTTGTTTTCAATCTGCATTCATGCATAGTTTTGCAGGTTTTTTTAAATATGACATGTAGTTTTGTTTCAGCAGCAGATTATTTTTATTGTGTTTGTGTGTGGCAGAGAACTGTTAACTTCTAGACCTTACAGACAGAAAGCAAGAGTGATTTGGCTTATTCTAGTACCATCAGCACAGACTTAGCATTAAGCAAGCCTGCTTCAACATTGAGAACATGAAATATGGATCTAAGTCCAGTGCTCAGAGCTTACCATTCTTGCCCGTGTAATAAAAGATAATATAGTTCTAACATCCACTTTTCTTTTTTCATAAATTCATGACAAGTATTCAGTAGCAGTCTACCAAAAAATGAAGAGAGCATAATTTAAAACAATGATCCGTTTTGAATTTCTGTGCCAAAACATGTTTCAGAGCAAAATAATGATATTTACAAATACTTGGGCTTATTTTTGTGACCTTTGACTCTGGAGCTAGTGGAATAGGGGATAAGGGAATTTTATTGAAGGATTGAGGAGACAGCTGGCAAAGAGGGTTCTGGTTGGGTCTCAGCCTTAGTTTCTTTTAATATCTGCCCAGTATGATATCATGCCCATTAGAAAGGGTCTTATTTTAGGCACTGACATAATCTATTTGTAGGTCTTTCTTTGTTAGACTCTTGTAGAGAGTGCAAGGCTGCTTAGGCAAGTTACATCTGCCACTCAGCAATCACGGGTCCTCATTCTGAGATGGCCAGTTTCTCAAAGTGAATGTTTTCTGAAAGTCAGGTACAACTTCTTTTGGCATTAGCCTTTAAAGCAAGATTATGGTATCTTATCCATCTTGTGTGTATGTTCTTTGGAAAGAGCTGCCTGATAGAAGAGGTTATTTCTGGGGTTTGTGATAGCCAAGATGAGTCATAAGTAGCTCATATAGAAGCATTAGTCCAGGTTTTCCTGGCCCTATGAAGGTATTAGTTCTAACCTGAACTCGTGGCCAAGCTTATGCTGAGCCTGGGAGAGAAAACATTAGTCTCTCTTTGCCCTTTTGTCTTGGTTTGCCATTTCAGCTTTCCTTTCTAGGTTTGTGGTCCCACCTCAGACAAGAGCTCTGCTTTCATTTAGCTATCAAGGCTGAAATATGTCCAGTGGAAAACACTGATATTGAAGAAAGCATTTACTTTCCTGTACATCTCCATTTCATTCTCAGCTTTGAAAAGCTGTCAGTTGGAGATAGTTATGTTTGCAATGAATTTCTTCCTTTTCTTCCTCTTTTCCATGTGATATCACAAAGCAGCTTTTCACTAGAGCCCTTGTAGCCTTCAGTGGTTGGTTGGTCACTGAGTTCTTCTTCTCTGTCTCTCATTTACCTCAGTCTGCCTTCATTCTGAGTATGAAGATGAAGCTGGGATAAGGGTGGTCCAGCACTCTGTCTACCACCAGAAGAGTATGTTCACATCTAAACAAGCAAACACTGTAGATGCTTAAAAGCATATTGTGAGCAGTCTGAATTTTGTCTGCTGTCAGTGCTTTGAACTGATGTAAGCATGTCAAAGAGCCAGCTCCATTTTTGCAGTGAAAACTTGATTTGAAGTTTGTGCTTAATGGCATGGGACTCCATAGACTTCCATATTGCATGCTGTTATTCCAGATGTGCATTGTCTCTATAGGAGACAATTTCACAGTGATTAAACATTTTAAGTTTGTCAAGTGCTAATTATAGCAGAAAGCATGATAGCAGAATCTTCAAAGCCTCAGTGGACAGAAAAGCTTATTGATCATTCAGTTGATTTTTATTGCTTGCTATTGAGCAGCAGGACTACCTGCTCTTGCACAAGCCATATTTTCTGAGTCATTGTACCAGTCATGTGAAAGAGCCTAGTCTGCTGTAATATGGGGCATTGTTTGAGTGGTATATCCCCTGCTGCAGTGCACTGCATTACTGCAGCTCTTCAAAATTCAAAGGGCAAAGTAGTGACTTGGAAAGCTTTGTCATTGGAAATGTCAACAGCTCCTGTGCTAATCCATAATTAAAGGTGATTTTTTCTTTCTGTCCAGGCACTGCGGCTTCGTCCCCTCCAGTTTATGTTGCAAAGTGCTGGAATAAGTGAGTACTCCAGGTTCTGGGATGTGGCATCAGATGACAAACCCAAAGGGAGAAACTGCGGCCTGAAATGGTAAAATGCAGTGGCAAGTGTGCTTCACAGTGTTGATTCCTTGAGGCTGTTAATATAGTGCTGGAAGGCAGGCCACTGGATAAAGACGATGGTTGGGAAGTGTGTGACAAATGGGCAACTACACTGCTGCTGCCTTGATAACCCATGTGTTGTGGCAGACAAATATCAGGCTGCTCTTGGCCAGAACCAGTCGCTACAGCTAAGCTGTAAGCAGCACATATTTGGGATAGCTCCATGAAAGCTGTCAGGATTGACTGAATATGATCACCTGGAAATCAAGGGCCAAAACTCAACTGCATTAGGAAATGAAGTCAGACACTACAAACCTTTGCGATAAAGAGCATCCTGAATGTACATTCTATTGTGTTTTTGCTAGCTCTTTCTGTCAGTTATTTTCCTTTAAGGTTTCATAGGAGAGAAAGCAAAGTGCATTTGAGATGAAAGGCTGCAAAGCCATGTTAAGTTTCATTTATGGAGATGAATTAGAAACAGGTGTTTCACGTATCTGAGGGGCACCATTCTGAGAGAGCCCTTGAGAGTCAAGAGAAAGAAATTACAAAGACAACAGTATATTCAGAAAGATAACTATAATCAAGCCCTTTCCATGGCTATTAAGGGGAAAAGATAACAACCACAAATGCAATGGAGAGATTAAAATTGACTTTGTAAAAAGCCATTTTTTATTTTTTGCTTCTGTGAAATAATTTCAAAACCGAAGGCAGGAATAATTGAAGCATTCACAGAATATATCAATAATACCTCATTATCCAGCTTTGCTTCAATCCACTGATTTCAATTTTCTTTTGTACAAGCGGCATTTATCTGAGGACTTAGCATATGAATGGGAAGGGGGGAGAAATGTAAAATACAAGCGCCAGATTTACATGTCTTAGGAAGCCAAATAGCCCTCAAAACTAATTGTTTTTGAAATGCTTTATAAACCTTATCTTATGTGTTGACCCTAATCAGAGCAATTAATTTCATAATGAATTCTTTCTACATACACCCTATCTTATTATCCTTAGTCTAAATTAATAACATCACGATAATAATTAGCAGATATAAAATTCTCTTCACTACTTCTCATAGCATGTGGGCTTGATATAAAAGAACAACAAGGATAACAATTAGAGGAAAACACGTCAATTGTATGGATTGTTGTGCATTGTAACCCTAGCATCTGCAAAATACGCTTTATTTAAATGTGAATTTATTTATTTTTATTCTTCCTCTCTTTATCCTCCTGTTTCATTTTAGCAGTTTTCCTTCCTGCAAGAGGAAGATGTCTGTGTTTAGATTAGTAAAGCAGCAAAAAAAACTATAGGCTCTACATTTTATCACCTTTGCCTTTACTGAATACATTACTATGTATTAATTAATTACTGAAATGATAACTCTCCTCACTTATCTGAAGGCAAAATCTACAGGCATGGCTGGAAGGTGATAGTCTCCTATCAGCCTGCAGCTCCATCTTTGGCCCACTTCCATTACAATCCTTAAATTTCAGCTCTTCTTTATTCAAAGTCACTTTTCCAGCCTGTGCCATCCTAAGAAAACATGATGCACCTGCATAAACAAATTATTGCCTGAAGCCAACAGCTTCAACAGTCACAAACAGGACAAGGCACATGGGAGACTTGTTTCAGAATGTTTTATTCATGCACCTGACTGATCACGTATGATCTACAGCTGTATAGTAATAGGAAAAAGAGATGTCTGTATGTATTTACTTTTTTAAAAAATAAGGTTAATGATCAAGACAATATTAAGTGCAAAATGAGAGCCCTCTCTGAAACAGGATAAATTAGGTCACTTTGGTTCTTGAATGTGAGCAGAAAAATTTGACTTCAGTTTCTCACTGTGGTAACTGCATTTAGAAGAATGCATTCTCTTGATGCAATTTCTAAAAGATTACTAATGCTTCCCTTGTTAAGAGAGTTATTCTGATGTTTTGCAAAGAAAGCTAGTGACAGAATCACACTGACTGATGAAAATAATTTGTGAACAGCTTTTAAACTTTTTTGAAGCAAGTATCTTGAAGTGTTGCTTGTTCCATGAAATCTTTAATTCAGTGTGCAGGTTAAAATGTTATACATAAAATGTGATCTTGTTATAGACAGTAAATGTTTCTTTATTTATTAGCAGTACTAATGTGATTCCTAGATCAGCCAAGCAAGGTCACAGTCCCACAGTGCTTGATGCTTCAAACAAGCCTTCTGCTCTGCATAGACGAAGGGTAAATCTGAGAGGCAAGCGTGACCTGACTAACCAGTCAGGCTAAGAATATTTGCCAAATTCAAATACAATTTGGCATTCATTTTAGAAATTTGCGCAAAAAATTTCCTTTCCTCAATCTGAGAAGAAAAGGCTCCTCAGGCCTCCTAACCTATTATTTGCTGTGCTCTGTGGCACGGCAATCCAAATGATCAGACTTCCTCAGTGGCATCATGTCCTCTGACAGCAGGACTTAGAGCAGTGCCTGTACTTGTAAAGCTAAGTAGATTTCAGTCTAAATAATGTTCAGCCCTCAAATCTGCTCCCTTATTTATTTTTCAAAAGCTCTGTGCTAACTGCTATGTTATCTGTACAGATATGTTGGTTCTGAATCAATGCTCTCAGTTCACCTTTGCCATTGGTTCAGAACATACAGTTGACACAAGCAAGGTGAGCTAACATGAATGAGTTCCTATTATTATACAGCTGTAGTAGTACTATACACCAGTAGTTCTGGTGGCTAGTCTATTTGGCAAGCAGAAGCCCTTCATTTCTGGATTATTTTTCTATCAGGAGATTTGGGCTTTATTGAAGGTACTTTTTTTTGTGTTTTTTTCACATACAGGGACTAATCTTCAGCCTTTTTAACTCAGTTATTGCAGTAATTGCAACTGTGGCTCTGCTGCTTTACTTCTGTGTATCAGTGCTGATTTATCTAGCTTGAAGTTTAGGTGCTTTTTGGACAGCAATTATGAAGAGCTCAGCTTCGATTTAGCTAGTTAGTATCTATGAACATTTTAGATAATAGTAGTCACCAGTGGTCACTTCATACAGAACTAAAATGTGGAGCCTGCAGAGCAGGGATGTCCTGACAGATGTGAGGGCTGGACAGTCACCAACTGCATGAAGTTTGACAACAGCAAGTGCTGGATTCTGTAGCTGGGATGGGGCAACCCTGGTGATACGTATAGACTGCAAGACAACGAACTGGAGGACAGCCTCATGGAGAGTAGTCTGGGGGCTCTGGCTGTCGGCAAGTTGAATCTGAGCCAGCAGTGTGTTCTGGAGCCAAAAGGCCCAACCATATTCTGGGGTACCTCAGGTTCAGCACTGCCAGCAGGCAAAGGGAAGGATTGTCCTCTCTGCTGTGCAGCCTCATCTCAAACACTGGGCATAGGTTTGGGCATCACAATATATGAAGGAATTAAACTATTGGAGAACCTCCGAAGGAGGACTGCAAAGATGGTAAAGGTATAGAGTGCAAGACATATGAGGAGTGGCTGAGGTCCCTTGGTCTGTTCAGCTCAGAGCAGAGGAGCTGAGGGAAGACCTCATGGCGGCTACAGCTCCTCGCAGGGAGTGGAGGGACAGTGCTGAGCTCTGCTCTCTGTGGCAGCAACAGGGACTGAGAGAACGGCATGGAGCTGTGTCAGGGAATTCTGTTCTATGGTTTTATGAAAATAAGCTGTCTGTAATCTTTACAGCCCCAAATTTTCTGGTGGCTTAATGGTGTTGCACTCCATGGAGATGTGGGGATGCAGTGCAGCTTGTACATGCCTTTACTTTCTGATCCAGTGAGGTAAGTGCTGTACAGTAAAACTTCTGTGCAAACTTCCCCCTTAATCACATGTAGGAATGTCATTTTGGATGACCTCAGATCGGAGCATATGCTAAGTGACCTACAGGCCTGCAAAATCTGTTAGGCACCTGAAATATCCCTGCAGAGCTGTGGGCAGAGATGTTAAGAAGTGGAGCAGTTAGCCCATAATGTGTGTTTCAGCTTCAGTGCCACTAGAGTGCACCTCTTCCATGGCCAATGCTGAATCAAATTCTCTCCTAATGCTTTTTATTAATGTCAGTGTGTTGTCTCACTGAGATTAGAACATGAGCTCTGATATTTGATTCTGCACAAATGCATATTCAGTTTTTGAGCTGAACTACTACTAAAGAATAAGAAGGCCTGCTGATCACAGGAAGTAGTTGTACTCTGAAGCCCTAATTTAGCATTGGTCATATTGGAACTAGACAAATGGTTAATGTTTGCCATCTATTTAGTAGTTAATGTTTTACTTACCTTGTTGAATCAGAATTTCCTTTAATATAAAACTGGTTGGAATTGGCAGGAAATATGTCCAGATCAGGTAAGAAATGGTCTGCCTTTGAGACTTCACTGAACAATTAGTAATATCAATCCTTTAATACAGAAAACTGAGTTGGTATACTGTGTATCTCCTCAGTGAGCTCAGAGAAATGTGACCTTTCTACAAGGGAAAACAAGATGTCCTTTAATTCTTATGCATTAATGAAGGGACAGTTGCTTCTAAACAAATATGTTACTTGTGTGTGTTTCCAAGTAATCAATTCATGTAGCTTTTTGTCTTTTGTTTAAAACAAAACAAAACATCTTTAGTTCCTTTTGCTCTTATACAAGCAGTTTCACCAGGAATATCTTTCCAAAGCCAACATTTCAGTGAAACCTTCTTTTTTGGGCAACTGTATTCTTCAGCGCATTACTGAATATATGCTACATGCCATGGTGGTAAAATTCCCCCTCTGTAAAGAAAAACAACAAACCATAACCTGGCCTCCTTTGGCCTGATCCACAGCATAGCAAGAATTATAGAGTGTCCTTCCTACTTTGTGCACCTACACTCCCATTCCACTTCTTACATCTACTTTATGCATCATTGTATACTCATGACAAATTTCAGGGGAGCAGACCTAGTCAGAAAAGTCAGCTTAGTACACAAGCAAGTTTTATTCCACACAACTGAGAGTAAAACTGACCAGGAAAATGAAGAGGAAAAAAAATCTAAGATTACCTGTGTTTCTCAACTGCAGGAATGAACAGCTGGCCAAACGACAGAAGCAAAATGTGAAGTGAGGCTGATGGATAAGAAACATTAGTTCATCTGTGGTGAGTTGTGAGGTTTCAGTTAATTTCACCTAAGCCTGTGTGAACAGTGAAAAAAGTTTTTTCCTTTCATATTTCAGATTTTGATTTAAAAAATCAGCCTATGGCTTTTGTAGAAACTATAAACCTTGTGTCTTTAATGAGTTCTAAAATGTGCAGCTTGTGAATTTTGTCTAATAATTATGAAAGTGCCGGTGAGGATTATTCTGGATATTTTTTTCAGCTGCTTCTGCTGAGGCCACCTAGGTTGTGTCAGTATTGGCCACACCTGTCAAACAATTTTGCTATCAGTAGACTTCAAGAAGTAAGTATTTCACAAAAGTGTTTGAATTGCCCTCACTAACATCATCACTTACATAGTAGAGATTTCTTGTCATCAACATTCTTAATGAAAACAGAAACAAAACCAGAAAAGTCAGACTTCATTAAGACCTAGGTTTGAAAAAACAACTTCTGCAAAAGCGTAATGAAAATTGATTCCATCCTAAAACCACTGAGATGATAAACTTTTTGGGAAACAAACACACATTTGTATTCTCAGTCCCTCCTACTACAGATGAGTCCAGCTTCAAATTATCTCATGGAAGTTCAGGCTGTCTCTCCATGGGTGCTCTTTCTCTGGACTGGAAAAACACCTGCAACTTTGAAAAAGTCCATTTTTCTTTTAGTTTGTCCAATAACAGGAAGTATTACAGAAGCTCAAAATTATTTTGTGAAAATACACTCGAGCATTTACATTTTTTGCTCTAATGCATCTTATTATAAGCCAGTACCAAAGACGTGATAACAGTCTTCAGTAAGGTAAAACACAATGGATAAATGCTGAGGTAGGAAAAAATGAAGCTGAGCAACAGCACACTTGGCTGCATGTACTGAAGAGATGAAGGTAACCTGATCTGCTCACCCTTTTGAGGCTTTAAGGAGCAGCATATCATCAGCAAGATGCCAAATTAATTTGATTAAGCTGCTACTGATTTTTCAAAACAAAGAGCCTGTTTCATATGAATGAATATCTGAAGAGTTCATTGGAAGTGCAGACAAACCACAAGCTAGCCTGGAGAGATGTATTGACTTCGCAGTTTGGTCATCTTGATCTTGTTGAAACTGGAAGCTGGGGAGAATGGATTCAGTAGCCTACTTTTTGCCACCTTCTTTTGCTTTTTGAGAGAGTGTCTCCGAAACACTTTGGCTAGCAACCTAGCAGGCAGTTGGCAGGAAGGGCAACTGACCCAAAGTTACTTTGTAACTCCAATCTCAACTCTTCAAGGTGTCCTTTAAAAGCTATGCTACAAAGTCATGTTTTTAAAAATAGCTGTCATCTGTGCTAACTGAAAAAGGAATGAATGAATTTAGCTTACTATCTCATTGTGAGCAGAGTGGGGCCCAGCTCAGCACTTTACTGTCTAGTCTGATATAGCCTCAGGATTCAAAGAACCCTGGACCAGCTCTATATTACTCTGAAAGCCAGAGACTTTTCCAAAGTATTTCTTATGTAGGAAGAACTGCCTGAGCTGCTCAGATAGTTGTGTCGTATTTGTGTCTCAGGTGTTGTTTGTTTTTTTTTAACTCAGCCTTAAGTACTGGCAGGTAGGCAAAAGCATGGGGGAGCAAGGAAAACCTTCAGGTCTGTATCAGCAAAGTGGGGCATCTGTCAACTGAAACAGAGGCAGTGAGAGCAAAACCTGTTTCATTATTTCATAATAGCTTTTCTTCATGCCTCCTGAAATGTTTTACCCTCACCAAGGAAGGACTTGTGTTTCTGATATTCCTAGTACCCCAGATTCATTACTGCTGAGTGTAGTTTGTGTACCTGATAGAAGCTGGAATGGCTTACAGCTCACTGCAGCTTTCCATTACTTGAGGCCTTTTGACATTATTTATGCAACTGAAAACTGACATAGAAACACATCCAAAGGAGAAGCAGAGAGGAGCAAGTGGCTAAGGAAAGGTCATAGCAGTACTTCTTGGCTGCTTTGTAGGAATGGAAAGAGAAATTCTTCTCTTGAACCCTTCATTTTCTGTTCTTTGTTAGTAAGGTTGATTTATGGATAATGACATTTTTCTCTTATTGGTTTGGAGGGCTACAAATGCATGAAAAGCAATAAAGTAGAAATGTAAACAGACTCTTCTAAAATTGCCAGCAGTTGGCTGTCATGTAGACAGTGTCCTTTTTCTTTACACTTTATGCTGCCGACGCTCTCAGATCAAGACACATACACATCTGTAGGTGTATAGTCTTTTGAGAGCAAATCTACCAACCCCCCACCCTGAAATGCTACTAATAAATGTTACTATCAGGAGCCCAGGCGTGTAGCAAGAGCTTGGCCTTGCCCTGAAGATAGTGTATCAGTCTCTGAAATCTAGCATGTGGGAAGAGTTCTCATCAGGGGTGTGGAAGAGATTCTGTAAAGAGGAGCGATCAGGGAGGTAGACATGTTCAAAGCAAGTCTAAGGAAATGCCTTCTTGTACAACATGAGTTAGATCTGTAGAGCTTGTCACCATACGGTGGTGGTGATGGTAGGAGCTTGCAAGGCTTCAAAAAGTGACTGAATAAATTCAGGAAAAACTGAAAACGACTGAAGAGCACTAATCCCCATCACCACTTCCCTTTCAAAGCGCCTTATGTCTTGGCTTGGTGAAAACTGAAGAGTATATGTGGGAAACAGTGCTCTAAGCTCTCTTTGGCCTTAACCTCTTAGGTAAGTATTCTCCTGGCACTCTCAGGAGCAATTCTCTAGCACAGTGTATTGCATTAGAGAGCAAGAAGTTTCACAGATGCTTGCTGTGCAGGTAGGTCTTTAAGCAAAAGCTAAACAAACATGCATGACACTTCAAATCAATTTATGTAGTCAGTTAGGAATTCTTCATATAATCTACAGATATTACCAAGTGGCAGGCTCAGGCTGTTTATTTTGATTTCTTTCAGTGTAACATCGTGTTTCCCTTAAAATCAAACCCACATGCAAATTAAATGTTTCCAGTGTTCCATATATTCATTGTTCATATATCCAGAGTGTATCCTCTCTGCCGTGATGGCCTCAACTTTCATGAACAAGTATATCAAGAAAAAGCTGTTCTAAGAGTTCTCTGTAGTTAAGATCAGAAACATAATAAAATGAAGTTTTGAAGGGCGAGGGAAGAACGTAAAGGAAAGTGGAGGAGAGGACAGAGTGAAGGGAAGAAAAAGTTCACATGATTAGAAAAAATAAAAATTGAGCCAGCACATTAGAAACCACACCATGGAGAAACAGGCAGTGGCCTTGCTGAAAGGCTGATGGTTTGTCAGAGCAGAGGTAGAGCTTTGTCACACTTAACAGCCCTGACCTGGCCTACGTTGACTGACAGTCTGTCTTTCCAATTTCTAAACTATTAATGGTTTAATTTGGCTCATACCATCTTTTATCCTCTCCTGGACATTAATTTCTTTACAGTTAGCAAAGTGCTGTATGTTCTGCAAGGGTATAGTGAAGAACATGTACTGATTTCACTTGCAGCAGAAAACACAAAGCAATCCAGATTCTTACTGTCCATTTTCTTTCTTTCAATGATCTTTGCAATAGATGCATCTTTTTTTAACAGCGACCTGACTTTACCATATACATCCTTCACAGGATGTGAAATAGTTTTGAAATATTCAATGTGTTGCATCTTCAGTATGCTAGAAAATGTGTACTGTGTAAGCCAAAAGCAACTTGGAAATACTGTGCTTAGATAATTACATTTTTTTATATGTTATGCTGTGGAGACTGAAGTTCTGAGCCAGAAGAGGGCTGCATTGTGCTGAAATGTCCTTGATACATTTCAGTTCATAAATGTTATTTAAACTTTAGCAAGAGTTGTGTGGGACTAACACTGATCCCAAATGATAAGTGTAATCAGGCTGGATGTGGCTCTGGTCAGCCTGGTCTGGTGGTTGGTAACCCTGCCTACATCAGGGGGGTTGAAACTAGATGATCTTAGAGGTCCTTTTCAACCCAGGTCATTCTAACATTCTATAATTTTGATAATAAGCATTAAGGTTCAGGAAAATGGGGCTACTGGTGTCAGTTGATACCCAGAGATTTTTGCCGGGGCCTGAGAATGCCAACAAGGAAAGCAAAGCATATATATTCATGCATTTAAATGTTTCCTTTTCTGTTGTGAAACATAAACATCAGATTTCAGATAAACAACTGACTTTTGTCATAATCATCCTAAAGTGAAATACTCAGATTTAACCTGATGCACGCTGTAAAAACAACAACAACAACAAACCCCCATCACAGAAAAAAACAAAGAGCATATCCTTAAAATGTAAAGCATGGAATTGTTCATGGAACTGTTCTGTACCTTGGGCTGAGATTTTCTAAACTAGTCAACTTTGGTGTGGCCCTTCTGTGAGTTATGACAATGAAGTTAACACTGACTTCAGTGGAACAGACCTCTTGATTTGTGCTGTTCTGCACACTTGAATACCCACTGCAAGTTACATGTGAGCTGAACAGCTCGGGGTCCTCCAGCAGGAGTTGTTGGTCCATATAGCTGTCAGTCTTTAACTAATAGCCTGATAATCTAACTTATTTTTTAGAATGCTGAAGGAGAAGATGGTCCCTAGCCTGCTACATGGCTCACTATAATGAGTGGGGTTCCATTAAGCACACGTGTTGGCTTAAGGTTTACAGGAGCCAGTTATTTCATACTTCTTGAGACACAATGACAGCATTTGTTAAGGGTTCCAGTGCCAAGGTGTTGGTAATGTGACAGTGAACTGACTGCATGAAACAAAGCAAAACCCTTGTCTTGGCACCAGTGACTGTATAGTATTGTGTTCTGCAAGAAAAGAGTCGATGCAATAGCCAGGTGTGGACAGCAAGGCATCCTTTGTTCTTGTGGTTACCTCTTTGAGGGCTCTATCTCATGTAATGGAAAAAAACCTGAAAAGAGGATTTGAAGCCTGACAACGAAGTAGCTTTTTGAATGAAGATACTCCCATAATGTGCCCTCTTACATAAAAGGAGCAGTCTAATGTTAGACTGGTCATAACATGCTGAGTGCCTTCTAATCTTAAGTTTGGATCAACTGCAGCTCTGATCAGCTCTTCTGTAAAGGGGCTTTAATGCTGCATATATCCCATCCACTGGACTTTATGTCTCTAAGAAGCCTGAAGTCATTCAATAGCAAATTTATTTGTGTTTTATGTTTTGCAAGCAATACAACATTACTGCATTCCTTGTCATTTCTTTTCTCATCAGCTTGCATTCACATGCAGTTAAACACAGGGAAGCTGTTTCTTAGATGAGGATCTCCCTCTCTTTTGGAAGAAACATGCAGTTTTTGTTTTGCTTTCAGATCTATCACCATACTCCATAACTCCTCCTCTGATTAGTACTAGGCAACCACCAGGAGATGCATGGGCCTTCAGGGTTGTTGCTAAAAACAAAGGGACTTTTTCCCACAGTTAAATTCCTCTCTCCTTGAATTGGAAAGTTGTTAGTGGGCTGAGCCTTGTACGTGCAGGCCTAGCTAAGAAATAGTTCACCTAACCTGGGGTGTGGGACCATCAGCTACTGGCATAATTGCCCTATTCCCAAGCTGGTCTGCTCTGTGAGGCAGGAGACTTGACTTTGATGGGTAGGTGTAACTCAGTCTCTAGATGCTGTGCTCCTGTTAGTAAAAACATTTGCCCACTGACTGTATGGCCGAGCTTCTGAAAGAACTGTACAGTGCAGCTGTTTTGTCTGGCTGAATGCTTTGCAGTGTGAATAAGCTTGTTCAGAATGGGTCTGGCTGCTACTCTGATCCAGCGTATTGCCATGGGGTAAAAAAGGCCACAGCAGATGTATCTCCCAGACTTTGCTGTAGATAGGAACAGGAGCCTTGGAGAAGATACTTAATTTAAACTCATCTTACCGAAAGTAAGATAAGCCTTCTCTGTAAAGAGCACTGAAATCTCATGAAAAAAGCTAGGTATTAGTATTATTAAATAAGACCTAAAGCCTTCAGCTCTTCCTTGTTTCCACTTGCTTGAGCAGTAATATGTTCATCTGATGGAAAACTCACCTGTGGTTTTCCCTGCGTGAAGCTTATATTAATTTCTTCTGGGTGGATTCATAAAACATTCCTCATAATCCCCATTTACTTCAAGCCGTTTCGCTGCTCTGAATAGCACAGTATCTCATAAAGAACGTCGCTTTTCCTTCAAAAAACATTTGCATTTTATTTGTGCCTCAGAGGAAGAAGAATCCAAGCTGATTACAATACTGTACATAATGAAAAAATAATTGCTTCAAATGTTTTGCTGTGGTGGTCTTAACAACTCTTTTTCAATTGGTCATTCCCTCACCTCCTTAGCCAGGCCCAAGCAGCTGAAGCAAGCACATCTCTGACACTGACTGAATACCTCTGCAGCTGAGATCACCTAATGTCAATGGTGTAGTAAGATAGCACCCAGAAGAAAGTGTCAGCAGTTTGGATCAGCAGCAGTAACTATGTAATACAAACCCAATAAATAATTGGAACACCTATCAAAGAGAATGCACATTTGCTCCCATGCATACACGTGAATGAAAAGTTGCATCATGAAGGAAGGCTTTGTCTAAGCACAGCAAACAAAGGTTGTTTTGGCTCCATCAGTGTCTTCACTTGAAAAGCATTGCTGGTGATTATAAATCAAGATTTGCATGCTCACTCCAATGTCAGCGATTTGTTCTACCGTGTAAAACACTCTTACAGAATGCATGTTGATCAAGGCTCAGTTTCTGCTTTTGATAATCAATGCTGCTAAAATACACGAGAAAAAGGTAACCAATAAAAACCAGTACTTTACATTGCAGATAAAATAGGAGGGAGGTGGTACCTGCTGCTTGTCTACATCAATAATCCTAGTAGAGAGTCATCCCTTGCCTCCACTGAAAATATTCTTTGAGTGCAGTTCAGTGTAAGCAGTATTTAAGAGCACTTTATGTGCAGGGAAATTTATATTATTCCATGTTAATGCATACAAAATTACTGGAATTGGCAAAAGACTGCCAGCTATTGGTTGTAATGGCTTGAATTTTCCTTATGACTTGATCAGAGCCCTCAGGTGTAGGGGATGCCTGAATTACAGACATATTTTAGTGAATTTAGTTGTCATCCACCTACCTGTCTGAGAAAATGTCTGTGTTTCTATTTCACCACAATTTCAAATTGTTTTAGGATGAAGACTGTCTCATATTTCTCTGGTCTGATTTTCTTTTTCTGCTTGGTGTATGCATAGTCTCCAAAGTAAGCAAATCAGTGATTTTGAATAAGGATATTTTATCTACAGGAGGCCCTACATAACAAATAGGAACTTTTTAACAAAGTGAAATGCAAAGTTATTGAAATATTCTGTGGCACCCTCTGTAGCAGAATAATTTAAATTGATTTTTTTTTAATGGATTGTAATCATTACTTTTAATTTTCTTCTAGAAAGTGCTTGCTACAGTTCAGTAGTGGAGGAAGGCAACAGCTGGTCTGCGCATTTGTGAGTGAGCAGTATTTAATAAGGTAATATGTTAATTTTCTAAGTGTCAAGAACTACGAATTCATGCCAGGCCAAATTAATGCACGTTTTCACACAGCACAGTGAAGGGATACCTAAGCAAGCACTGCTGTGTTTAGGGTGCTTGTAAAGCAGCTATCTTTTTAAGAGTGAGAGGAGAACCTCCATGTTGCGGAGATATGACTGAACCTCAGTAGATGCCCCCCCAAAAAAACAAAAACAACAGAATTTTGCTGGCTGTAGGCAACGTGGCTCTATTTGGTGCACCAAACACAGGTTCCCATCCCTCTTCTGCCATAAAGAGCTCCATAGTGTTTCATTAATATGAATAAAAACTAACTTCCCTTTGTCTGCCAAGACAGAAGTATGATATAGTTTGTAGAGTAGACAAAAAGCAGTTCTAAAACTCTATTAAACTTTTAGGATAGGCTTTTTTGCTCCTTTCCAAGACCAAATAGTAAATATTGACTAAAGTATCAATATTTATCTTGAGGGGAAAATAAATCTTCCTTTGCAGAACTAAAGCCATTTTTTTTCGGAGTGAGAGATGACTCAAATGGTTAAGTTTCCAATAATAATCTCGGCAAATTCAGCAAACTGAGTACATTGAGGGAACAGTCAGCTCAGGAACATCTAGAACTTTGATTTTCCCCAGATGGAGTACCTTGCTGAGGTACAAAACTAGAACTCCATGAAAGTCCAGTGTGCTCTGCCTCTTACACAGCTGCCTAATGTTGTGCTGAAGAGCAAAACTTCTGATTTTCTCACTGTGAAAATGCTATTTGAATTCAGCACCATAACTGGAATAAAATAATAAGTTTGTTTTGATGTCTGAAATTCTTAAAGATCAATTCCAAAAACCTGTTTTGGTCCAAATCTGGGTCCATCAAAGACCTCAGAGGAATCTCCAGCAAAGTGTACACTGAAATAAAAAACAAAACAAACACCTTTCTTCTGTAATCATGCCTATTAGATCTTTTCCTTCTACTATCTGTCCTGTTCCAGGTAGAGTTACTGCTTCTATTTTCAAGCTTTTTAATGCATCATTTATGTAATCTGAAAGTATAATGCTGTCACATACATGGTATGGTAGAGATAATACAATGTCATCTATGAATTCTCAGGAGTGGTGCCCAAGTCAGTGCCAAACCAGGCTTAAGTTGTGCAAGGATGGCAAAAATATAATAGAGTATGAAAAGGCTTTTGTGAGAGAAAAGTGAGGATGGTGGTGGTAATATGATGCAGAAAAAAACTCCAGGGAATTATTTAATGCTATGCCTGTAGATCGAGGGCTTTAATAAAATAAAAAGAGCAAAGAGAAGACTCTGCACTCTGATGATGGATGAATATGCCTGTTTTGGTACTTCTGGGATGGATTACGCTATTGAAAAACCATTCAACATTGGCTAAAGAACTGTAATATATGTGAAACTCCACAGTTAATGCATCATTAAATAATTTGCTGCAACTGATTTATAGGTGCAATATACTACACTGTGTCAAACGATGTGGGATAATAAATGGTATCACAAAAATATACTATTGAAACTTTTGTTCTAATCAGTCTTTTGAGTTTTAGTAGAACATAGTTCTGCAGAATGGAATTGTCCTATTGATCTTGATAGAGTAATAGGTAAAAGCTTCATGCTGTATATGTTTTAAGGCTTTTTTAAGCAATCCGGTTTGTGGTCCAGTGAATCAGGCAGCAGACTGTGACTTGTGGGGCCTGCACACTCTTTGCTCTGTCATTGAAACTCCAAGCTGCCTATATAAGTTCCTGCTGGCTGAATCCTCTAGTGCTGACTTTGAGATGTGTGTTCCTTTTTTCCATGGGCACAATCCAGTATCCCATCACTTGCCTACATGTATTGGTTATGTAAAGCCAAGGATGTCAAAATTCAAAATAACATGTGAATCCAGCTTTCATACATCTTGGGTGACTTACTGCTTTCAAGGGACATCTCCTCACCCTCTATATTCACCATTCAGAAGAGAAACACTTGTTCCCTCTCTTCTGAAAGGGATTTGATAGGATCATAGAATATCCCAAGCTGGAAGGGACCCAAGAGGATCATTGAGTCCAGCTCCTGGCTCAGGACCACCCAAAATTCAAACTCTATGGCTGGGAGCACTGTCCAAATACTTCTTGAACTCTGCCAGCATGGGGCTGTGACCAGTGCCCCGAGGAGCCTGTTACCATGCCCAACCACACTCTGGTAAAGAATCGTTTTCTAATATCCAATCTGAATCTCCCCAGATTCAGCTCCATGCTGTTGTTATTTTCTGCATGTTCTGGGGAGAAAGCATCACTACCCCCCATTTACTGCTCCAATTCAGTGGTTCAGATCTTTACAGAAGAAATGAACAGGCTCAGTTCAGATCTTGCCCCAGATGTTCTTCCCCTTGCCTCCCCACTCCACTTTCCAGAACTCGCCTAACCTCATGGTTGCAGTGTCTTGCTGAGCAATGTTCATAGCCACTTTTCCTGAATGAATGTTCTCATACAGAAAATATGCTTTTACAGGGCCAGGTAAGAAGGGAATTTTGACCTTGACAAACCAGTGGTGGGACTTCCAATTGGAGAAGGTTCTGTCTCCTTGTCCCTCAGGGACTGCCTTCATACTTTGTGGATGCCCTTTTGGGAACTTATGCAAAGAACCGTGATATTCAGGCACTGATGGTCAGGTGCTGGAATGGGTTGCTCAGGCAGGTGGTGGAGTCACTGTCCCTGGAGGTGTTCAAGAACCATGGAGAGATGTTGTACTGAGGGACATGGTGTAGTGGGAATTACTGGTGAAAGGTGGACAGTTGGACTGGATGATCTTAGAGGTTTTCCAACCTTGGTGTTTCTATGATTCTATGTTGCCTGGCACTATGATAAAATTAGTGGATAAGTTAAATGTAATTAATAATGTATTTGATTAATTTAGGGGCTCTAAGCTTTTGTACTGCATTGTTTCCAAACAACAGTGAATTTTTTCCATCATAATAAATTATTAAGCAAGTATTTTCTGCAGCTATATTTTAGCCTATAGGAAATAATTCATGACTCAATTTATGCTGTTCATACTGTGTCATGCTATGTCACGCTATAAATAAAATACGTAGTCCTTCACATTTAGTCAGAGTGCAGGGTACACTAACGGACTCAAAATTACCCTAACAGACCTCACTGAGACCTTTGACTCATACGTGCTGCTCGTGGGCCAAGAGCCCTGTTTAATCTCTCGAGCCTTCAGTCTTGGCCTGAGCAGTGTTGAGGGTATTCTTGCTCTAATCTTTCTAACAGATTGTTTTTCGGGTTTTTTGGGCTGGCCATAGACCTGACTTGTTAATGTGCCAGATGATAGAAGCTCCTGCTGCCACTGCTCTGCCTGGGCTGCCCAGTTCAGACACTGCAGGGCTGTGGTAAGCTCGCTGCCCCTGCTCACATAATCACTCTCAGCTCCCAGCTTGCCTTCCTGTGTGAAGTGACCCAACTTTTTTTTCTCTCTGGCACATATAACTTCTACTAGAGTAATCCTGAAGGGAGTGGTTAGAGTAAGATTTCAAAACGGACGTCTCATTACCTTGGTTAAAGGCAGCATTTTGAAGTGTTACGAGTGCTTGAAAGTGTGAGGTCCATTTTAGGAGTGCTGTGGGAGAAGATTATCATGGTTTGCTATAGTGGCATAACTCTTCATATTTGAGTAATTTTAAATTTCTGCCATGAGGTCAGTAAAATTTCTAGCAACAGGACTTCTAAAAGCATCAGAGTTGCATAGCACCCAGATACCTTTGGGAACTGATGGAACAGGTGCTAGTAAAAGATGATATTCCACTGGTGAAGGGGAAATGGACCCTAATTTATAAAATAAAATATTAGGTTTTGCCAGATTCAGCATGGCAGTTCTCCTTTCAGCATATATGCTCTACAGAAGTTGATGCAAATTGTTGTTTTAGTTTCAGTTGGTCCAAGAGGTATCAGGCACTCAGAAGAAACCAGGAGCACAACAGCAACTTTTTGTGAAACAAGTCCAATTCTTTGCTAGTGCAAATCAGGCTACTCTTGCTGAAATCCATGGCCACAGTTGCAGAAATTAGTGAAGCGTAATCAACTTATGGGAAGTAAGGGAAGTACTCTAACTTTTCTTTAGTCCAGCTGAGAATCAATACTAGGATATTCATTTATTTCTATAGTTATAAATGTTTCCTAGATGAAATACTGACCTAAACAGTTCCATCAACACCATCATCTCTTTATTACCATTTTTACTGTATCATATTAAATGCACTATGTAGCTATTGCAAGATAAGTAGAACTACTGACAAGATGGAAAACCAGCTAAAGGAGTCGAGTTTATTTTAAGCCTTGAAAATACACTAGCTTTGAGAAAACAGGAGCTTGTAAAGGACTTTGGTGAATTATAGTCCACTGTCAGAAACGTTGCAGCTAATTAGCAGCTAAAGTTTCCAGAGAGAAGAAACTGTGACATGATGGAATGGCTGTTTGCAGAGTCTCAGCCTATAGGTGTTTTGATGCTGGCATGGTTATTGATGGGGCTTCTACATTAAATTAATTTAAAGGAAGGGGAGCGGCACAAGGTTCCTAAATAAAATGAATGTTCAGTAGCTTATGCCTGTTTACTACTTGCTTACTGACCACTGCTTTTTCAATTATAGTGTTTTCAAGAGATGCTGTTATATGGTGGAAAGTGAGATTTTATGGCCCTTCATCTGTTCTTTATCACTTACTGCTGCTGTTAGTGTTCTGTGGGTTGTGGTAAGAGTTGGAGGCCTTGATCATTGCCTCCTTAAGCACAGAAGAACATATGTCCCTGTCCCAAAGTATTTGCATTGGATCATTCATGGCCTTTTAAGCACATAGCAAGTTATCTTACCACCTCCAAGGGACATGAGGAGCTTCACTGCATGTGCAGAGTCACGTGCAGGAAACCTCCTGCTGGCTCTCAGCAAGTAAGGGTTGACCAAATAGCTCTCAAATTGGCCTCTCCCTAATATTCTGCTTTTCTTTTAACTGCTGAACTTTGAGGCACTTTCTAGAGAAGAAAAGAAGGAATAATGTAACTTGAGGTGAATCTTGGTGACAATGTGATCCAGCATAGAAAGAATTGCCTGCCACTATGGAAATCACTTGTGTGAGGTAGAAACATTTGATTAATGAAATATCACCATTCCAGTTGCATAAATGAACAAATAAAAATGGGTGATAATGACACATAGCTTGCTAAATCTTGCTGTCTTCTCAATGCACATTCACATCACCTCAGCAAAGATCTCTTTGCTTTCAGTTGTTAATTCGTTAATTCCTGTTTTTTCCTTGAAAGAATTATGTGCATATATTGCAGCCTTCCTCCTGTAAATGCTGATTCAGTACTGACCATGCTGGATGTGGTTCAGAGTAATGAAGAGGAGATTACCAGTTTCTTATATGTGGGCTGAATGAGCAGAAACATTTGTGCCTTCTAATATAGCTTACCTCATAAGTGGTACTTTTGAAAAAATAGTATGTTTTAAACAGTCTTTCTTTGTCTGGGTCAGTCTGCACAAAGGAGGGAGCTAGAATTAATTATTGCCACATGTACATTTTTGAAGCTTGCTTCTGCAAATATTATTACAACCTGGATATCATTTCTGTAATTTAAATAAACTATTGGCAATTTACTGACCTCACTCCCATGCAGCTATTTCAGGAATTAGCTCTCCCTCTTGTGGTTACTGTCAACAGCTCCAGTCTGTTATAGAAGAGTGAATCGTGCTCTCAGACTTGCTCACTCTAGTGCTTGCTTGAGATTTTTCTGTGCTCTGTTTATTAACTACAATAGGAGACAAGTTTGTGGAAAACAGCTTCCAAAGCATTCTTCCAACAGTATGCAAGTTCTCCCTGCATTTGCTAAAGCATAACAGATACTTAGAACAGAGTGTATAGATGTCAGCAGAAGTTTTGTTTTGAATACTTTTCCTGAGAAGGAGATCACTATTCCTTTAAGGAATGATCTCTCACTGAAGACAGTCAAATTTAGCCATTCATCTACTACATAAATATTAATTCATAGCTACTAGGTTTTTTTTGTTGTTTTTTTTTCTTCTTGTTTTCATTTTTTTTTGTGGTGTTGGTGATTTGAAATTGTGTTACAAATGCCTGGCCTGTCAAAGCCTGCATACTAATTGTAAGTAAATGTGACTCCTCATCTTTGTAAGGAAATAATATTTTAATCTCAGGACTGTCACTTTACATTGAGAATGATGAAGGCTGGCAGCAGTGTCAAACAGCTCATCACAGCTGATACTTAAAAGGCTCTCAAGCCTTTGGTTAATTGGCGAAACAGTAAAATAAGGAGAGAATCAACAGTGTAGTGAATGATTCCATTTGTATTTCTCCCATTCATAAGAGCCTGGGCTATTTTACGGAAGAATTACTATTTTGTGGGAGAACATAATTCAGCAGGTTTTGGGGAGCCCTGCTTTTGGAAGCAAATTAAAGGAAGATTGATTTTTTAATTAGTGTGTACATAAATCCAGATTTTCAGAAATGCACTTTGAACTCAGAATTTC